TCACATTTCAGTTTGTTCAAAATTTTCATGCGTCATAGATGTTGCTTTATCGCCAATGCAACTTAGTTTCATCACTGAATTGAATTTTCAGAAAATGCGTTGGCGACCTGTATGGCAAAACATGGTCATACTTTATGCAAGAAGCTGCTCGGAACATGTTCGACAATACTAAATCTTCCACTTCTACCGTATACCCAAGGGTCCCTGATGAAGCTACCGACAGCTATTTCTGTCTGCATTTCCTCAGGTGAATCATTCTCTGATGCTGAATTACTTCAAGATTTCTAATCAAGATTTTGGAAGCTAAGAGTAATGTTTGCTTTACAACTCTTTTCTTTCAGAGAATATTATCGCGATGTGTTATGCAGAATATGGAATTGATATGTGTAAAAAGTGGATGACAGAATGTGGTATATCAATCAGTCAATCAGCATTTTCTGATGAACAAACGACATGCCTAAAGAACAGTAAGAAAGCATCAAATTCCTTGCTGAGCACCCGTCATTTCGGTTTTGTTTGTAGATGCGCTGAAATGCTTTAATTTAGGATTTTGCTCAACCAAAAAACTGTACTATCTACAGTTATGAACAGAGCAGAAAAAAATGCGGCACGGAAAGAAACCCTCCGAAGCATAGAAATGCGAGAAAAAAATCAGCCAAATTGTTCGCTTTTATAGATTCAGTTTTTTGCGGATGAATTTGGAGAAAGCTCCTGAGAAGCAGTTTACGTATTTTCAAGCGTTTCTGTGTTTTAGAGAACAAATCGGTGAAGAATTGTCTCACGAAGTATGGTCAAATTCTTTGCTACAAACTGATAATAGTATGTTCAAAGATGCTGAATGTACAAATTGATCGAAAGAGTATTGAAAACGTATCACAGGCAGTATTGACTTGCATAACCTCAGGTGAGCTGTTTACGGTTAGTTTAGAAGTGCGCTTGGCTCTAACATTAAGATCCTGAAGCGAGATTAACGAACTCCTTGTCAAATCACTTCATCAATACTCGTAAGCATTCAAAACAACGAAAATTTGAAACTATTTTTGATTCTTCATGCATTCTTATTTTCAGCTGATTGATAGTACATATGCTAAATGTACACCTTTTCAGACGATCCGATGATTATATGTATGGCGAAACATGGTACTGAGTTTTGCAATAAGCTTCCAGCTGCATGTGCTGCACTTACTCATTTACAAATACCGCAATACACGTTTGGTATGAAATTACCAGCTGCAATCGCTGCTTGTATAAGCTCAGGTATGAATTCATCATTCAGATAAATTCTTCCAGAAGTAACTACGGATGTGTATGTCCGCTTTACACGCTTCTGCCGTCTCTAAAGGGTGTAATTGTTGATACGCTTCATAACGTTGTTGCATGCAACTCGCCCGTTTTCAATACGTGAATTATCACAAGAGGATTTTCCAACGTATTCGGTGAACCCTTAAAACTATAAAATTCATTTACACTATCGAAGAACGAAAAACACTAAAACAACTCGTGTATTTCAGAAAACTACATTGCTTTCTGTTATGCCAACAACAGCGTCGAATCGTGCAATGTTTGGCTACAAGCATGTGGCATCACCAGCATAAATGAAATTTTGACGTCTGTTCAGATCCAGTGTATGGACACCAGTAAGATATTTTAAAGTAGTCTGTAAATCTTCATATGCTCCTCGGTTTAAAAAACTTCTGTTCTCAAAGTCATGTTTTGTATAATCAGCTGATTGATTTCAGAGATATTCATCGGCTTCTGCAAGCGCCGATATGGTGCGGAACAGTGCTTATCATGGAGCAAGAAATGTGCAATTATCGATTATAGTGGCAATGTGATATTGACCACGGATGCCAAGAACTGCATGATTACTCGTTAGTTTTGGTAATTTGGAGTGGTCGCTAAACACATTCATTTCCAGCAGCTCACAACCAGCAAACTTATCGGAACTGTTTTGTCTTCATTCTTCAGTCTACTCAATGAGTGAAGTGGCCAAAATGTTATCTATTGACTGGAACCTGGAGATTGCATTTTGTAATATGACGGTTCTTCAGAGTGGACACTGCATACATGTGCAGCAAAATATGGAAAAGACTTTTGCGATAAAATGCAAATGACGTGTGCGTCGATGCTCGACATGACTGTTTCTATTGGTATTGGCCGAATTTTACCTATAGATCTGGCGAAGTGCATCTCAGAAGGTCAGGTTCTGAACCAATTTATTCGTGCTTCATAAGGCCGCATTGCACTCCAAGTGCGATTCGACCAACTCACATTCACATACATGTCGAAACGAACAACTGAAATGAAAGAAATGATTTGCTTATATCATTTTAATAGCCCACATGTGCCCATTCTTGTCATCCAGATTTCAGTGATGAACTGTTTCAAGGAGGATCTCTTTTAGTGAACCCGATGGCATTGTGCGTGACAAAATACGGTGTTGATTTCTGCGATAAACTCCAAATGGCTTGTTCAGAAATCGTGGGTGTACCAATATTACCTAGAAAACCTGGCACTCTTCAACAATTCTTAGGAACGCTGGGTATATGTATTTCCACAGGTAATTTATACCCGCTTTTACAAATGCACATGAATGACTGTATTCGTAATATAGTTTCGAAATTCGGAAAAAAAATCGTCTCCTCCATTGTGTATGCTTAAAAACTCAATGAGTGTTCAAGACAGGATTACCAACACATATTGTGCACGCTGACATGGATGCGTGTGCGCTATATGTTTCATTGGTATCAAGAATTCAAACAAGTTCAGTGTATTTCATATCAACTTTAGAAGTTAACAACAGTGACTAAATTTTCTGCTCGTGTTACAGAACATGTTATTGCAATGTGTTATGCTCGCAATGGCGTTGAAACGTGTACAATATGGATGAAAGCTTGTAGCATTACTGATATTTCGGTACCACTTACCGAGGAGCAGAAGTTGTGTATGAAGAACAGTGAGTTTACGTTCTGCCATCAGCTCTATGTTCTAGGCTGAGATGCATAATAAAGTGCACCTTGCAACGGTTTTCGTTGGTGTTAAATGATTAACATATTCGAATGTGTGTGCATTGCTGCTTCATTCATCTACCGAACAGACATTTTGTCTTACATAAAAACCACTTAGTTCACTTTGAGCGTTCGTGTTCAATGAGTGATATTTGATTTGTCTTTAAATATTACTGAGAGTAGTGGAAAACGAACGTTAGAATCAATAGAAAGCTTAATTAAATGAAATCAGTAGAAAAGGATCCCATCAGAAAGCAGTTAAAAGTGAACGTAGTGAAAATGCCTGCT